GCGCGGTCGGTGGCCTGGCGCTGAGCCTCGTCCATGCCCGCTGCCGTGAGGCACGCGTGGCGGACAGGGCTGACTCCACGCGGGGCCGCCGCTGCCGCGGCAGCGGCTGAGGTGGCGGGGCCGCCGCCGTGGCTCAGAGGGGGCAGCGGTGAGCCGCCGCCGAAGCCCGCCGCGAGGCCCGTGACGGAGTACTTGTGCTTGAAGGGGTCGAAGGTCGGCGCCTCGTCGAAGGCGACGACAACGCGGGTGGGCGGTGGCAGCTCCTGGTCCGTGGACGGCGTCGGCTCGAGGTCGACCTCGCCAGGTTCGATGGTGCTGGCACCGAAACGTGGCACCACCTCGGAGGCTTGGCCGTCCGCCTGAGTCTCGCGGGGCGGCGAGCTCGTGGAGCTCCCAGGGGGCTTGCGCGAGCTGTGGCGGCTGCAGGACCGGCTGCGCGGGACGCGCCCGCCCGTGTGGCGGTCACGTGGCGAGGCCACCTGGGCGTTAGCGCGCGCAGAGTCCGCCCTGCTCGGGGAGCGGAGCGGCGCTGCGCAGGGTGTTGGGCTGGGCGGGCGGGAGCCGCCTGTGCCGCCCGCCGCCGAGGCTGCAGCCTGGTCAGGGTCGACGGCGTCGGGCCGGGGGCTGACGTGGTGGGCACTACCCTCGCTGTGCCGCGGGGCGGCGCTGTGGTGCGCCTGGGTGTGCGTGAGGACGAGCGGGACGAGCGGCTGCCGCTCGCGCTCAGGGGGGGCAGGTTTTGCCTGGGCAGGGCGCAGCGCTGCGGCCACGTTTGGCGGGGGCGTGGGTTGGCGCGGTTGCCAGGCACGCACGTTCGCCTCGCGCCATCCTTCGGGGCGCCCTGTCCTGCCACGGCTTGGTGCAGCCCCCTGGGCTGAAGCCGCAGGGGGTGCCACTGCGGGCTGGTTGCTGGCGGTGCTGTCGTGGCGGCCTGGGTCATGGCCCCAGGCACGCGTGGACCCTGGCACGGGCGAGGTGGCCCGTGGGGGAGCCTGCCCGAGTGCACGCGGGTAGCCGACGACCGCTGGGTGCACCCTGGCGTGGGGGGCGTGGCCGTAGCTGGAGGCGGCAGCTCCTGCCGCCGCGGGCCTGGCACCAATGGGGCCACGGTGATAGGCGGCGCCCCCGCCGTACACCGCGCTGTCGCCTGTCGGGACGCGCGCGGGAGAGCGGTTGCGTGGCGTGCCCGGCTGACCTGCGTCGCGTTGGTCGCGCTGCTGGGTGCGCTGCTGGCGCTGTTGGTAGCGCTGCTGGTCGGCTCTCGAGAGCGGGCGGGTGTCGGGGAGGATGGGCGGCACGTCGGGCCGCCGCCAGCCCTGATAGACGTGCTCGAAGGCATGGTTTGGGTAAGTCTCCCCGACGGGTGAGTAGCGCCGTACATGCTCCACGTAGTCAATGTTCTGCGGCTCGGGGAGCACCGTGATGTTCACAGCCCGCTGGTGCGCTGGTCCATAGAAACAGAAGCTACCACGGTTGCTGCGGTCGTGGTTCAACTCGGCTTCGGTCGTGGCACGACTCACCATGGCGTCACAGAGGCGCATGTCGTAGTCGAGAGCTTGAGGCCCAGGGCCGCCCTCGGCATCCCAGTACAGTACCACATCTCGCCAGCGCGTGCGGGTAGTGTGGATGCGCTCGGCGATAGACTCGCAGACGGTCCTGACTGTGACACGATCCCTGTGCATGTTGGTGATGGCTAGGGGCTAGGGAGTAAGGTCGGCGGACCGCTTTGTTGAAGATGAAATCCTCCTTGAGGGCCTGGTGGGGGCCGAAGAGCACGTAGCCTTCCTTCCACAGCGGTTGGTCGGGAGACGGGTCTTCAGGCATCCCCGTTCCTGTGAACCCTGGTGGCCGCCTCGTGCCGTCGGGCAATCCCTGCTTGAGGACGCGACGCGGCCTCGGT